AATTTTCCGCTCTTCACTTTTCTTTCTTTAGTGTCTTACACAGCATCAGCTGTTGGTTTCTGGGCTGTTAGTCTGATGATGGAAGATTATGAGTTTAGTTGGCAAACAACTGCACTGTATGTCATCTTGCTATTTTCTTAAACGTAAATCTATGTGTATATGTAGATCAGCTACACCTTTACAATTTATTGTTCAAGTCTATACATCGAGTAGTAGCTGCACTGTTGGTAAAAAACCTTTATCAAATACTCTCTCAAAGTCTATCTTGAATTTTAATAACGAAAATAGGACCATCATATACAGGAGCTCGTCCAGCTGGTGCTTGTGTTGGTGTCGATGTTAATCAAATAGTTGTAGAACAAGCTATTTTTACTGTTGGTTGTTCAGGTGTAACACTTTCAGATGTACTCACTACATCACCACCTGGTATTCACATCTTATTTATAAAAATTTCATCATCTTCAATATCGATGCATAGGTATGATTCGCGGTACAGTCACTCAATCGACTAGCAATCCATTAGAATATACAATGTCAATGACATGGACACCACCAGCATCTGCTTGGGGTAAAGTTTCTTTTCTTAATCTAACTATCCTCAGATATATTGTTTCTATAAGGAAGGTGAATTTTTTTTTTTTGTATAATTTTTCGTCTTTTTTTGCAAGGTTCAAATCTTGTTTGTTATACACCAATCGATAGTTTGGGTCAACAAGGCAATACACAATGTGTCACTTATCTTGTTGCTGTTACTGCACCTGAACTAATCTATACAAGTTATGTTAATGGTAGCATGGTATATTGATCTATTTAGACCAATTACACTTTATCACTATTAGTCTCTTTGATAGTCTCCCATAGGTACAGTTATGCCTACTCAAAATGTATGGCGTGTTGAATGTACTAAAGCAGTCAATCGTCCATCAACTGCAGCATATATTCGATTTTATCAAAGTTCAACTGCTACACAAGTATATGCACTTGACGCTAGTACAGATACAACCCGTGTTATTTATTCAAATTTTACTTTGATCTTCTTTACAAACTATGCATGGATAGCTGTGAGTTATTCCATTTGACATTTCTTTCATCTAATTAAGTGATTCATTGTTTTGCTTTTTTTACTAGGGTCAAAGCTATTATATTTTATTTGACAAGTAAGTTTATTTCTTAATAGGTTTCATGATGTTCTATAGATTATTTAATAATACAGTGGTGTTGTAACGGGTACTGAATTTTGTGGTCCACAATCAAAACCAATTCTTGATCCAACTTTTTGGCCGTTTAATATTTTTAATTCAGCTGCCTATGCTAATTTGACAGGAATGACAACATCAAGTACAACAACAATTATTCCAAATATAACAACACCAGCTATATCAACAACAACAGCTAATCCAGCTATTACTACAACTGGAATTACTGTTCCAAGCTCGACTACACCTTATACTGGTAAATGTCTTTGTTTAATTAATTTTCATTATGAGTTTAATATATGTATATATATAAGGTACTGGCGCAAGTACGACAGTTAGAACAACAACATCAACAACAACGAGTACTACCACTGCATGTAAGATGCATTATTACAGTGTATTCTTTTATCTATTCATTGATTTTCTTTGTACGTAGCAATATCAACAACGACATTAACAACAACGACAACAACTATGCCAGCGGTTCAGATACTACAACCAAGTGATATTATTAAAAAATGTGAACAACCAGTTATTATTGGTACATTATTATCTACAACTGTTGTTGGAGCTATATCTTTAGTTGTTTATGGTGTTTTTATGGCTAAAATTGCGGCATCAATGTTGTAAAAATTACTGAGTGTTACAAGTCGAAGCAAATGAAAACGATCCGTTCAAACATTTCTATTCAAGACATTTATATAAAATTTTATTTTTATTTTTATGAATTCAACTTTTTGTAATTGATGATTTTTTTTCCCCGGAGGTATTAGAAGTTTCACATTGGCAGCAATGCTAAAATACAATTTTCATACTAATTAATTATTTTTCCAAAAATATTTGTACTATATTAAAAAAAATACGAAGCAAGATTTTTTGATTTTTCACCAAATAAAGTTATCGGTCTCAGCATAACACAAAATCATAATAAAACATTGTTTTTTTTGCGTTGAAGAAAACATGATGGGTGCATTTTATTTATTGTCATTCCGTTTCTACATTGAGATTTATCGTAATTGTCGACTTGTTTTATATTCTAATTTTTTTTTTGTACTATACATAGATGTGAATATGGTAGTGATATTCAATTTTTTCTCGGTAAAGTGACTTTTGGATCATCCTGTATTACGCTTATCACAGTCGAATTCATTAAGTTTTGCGTTCAATCGGTAATAGTTTTTAATCAATATTGGTTATGATTTAATTTATAAATATAACAAATGACTATCAAAATGAGATAATAAAACGATCCATATCTCATAAAGAATGAGCCTATCAACGGTTAAATCCTTTCTCTTAACTTTCAGCATTTTATGTACATTCTTTTCTAAAAATATCCTAACAATAGACTTTAATAGTTCTATAATAAAGCTGCGGCTGACCGACGGATATATAAGAAGAGAGAAGAATGTGGGTAGTGCACATATCTAGCACGATCATAAATAATCATACGTAGAACAGAAAACTAGATTCTTGCATGTGGTAATATACATACTATAAGATAGCAAAAATTTGCGTATCAACACAGAATGTCTTTTAGAGAAAACTTTCATATACACAATTTTGTTTTGTATTGACATACAAATTGTAGTGAAGTCCTTGTCATCTTGCAAATACATGCATTAAATACTTTGGCATTCATGTGTGAGTATTTGCAAGAATAAAATTCTTACATGAACCTGCATGTTTTACTTCAAAACATAAAAAAATTATGTTTTTATGAATGTGTTGGTAACATGCATATTTTTGCACGCACTATTGTCATGCATTCATACGCAACACTCATGAATATTCAAAATAATTGACATATTTGTACATGATGTACAAGGAATTTAAAAAATATTTTGTAAGTCATATTGAGATTAGTTGAAATATTTTTGACTAGATAAGATTCTTATAGATAAGACCATATAAGTAGGGGGCAAAAGTGCTCGGTCTAGTCAAATTTTATCAAATGAAGTAATAAGATGAATACTTTTTTACTTTGTAAAAGCTTATAGTACGTTCTGATTATTGATGTGATTTAAAGTCACCATCACTTTCAACAACTTCAGAAATTCAATTATTCATACTGTGTACAAGTTTCATGGCTAAGTCCGATAGTAAAGACTTCTATTTATACTTTGTTGCTGGACCCAAAGATTGATAACATGTAAGCTTTTCCGTTTTTAACTTCATCTTGAGAAGTTGCCAAACATTTTCGATGGATGCGACATCGGGTGACATTGACGACCAATCAATTTTGTGAACATCATTATGCGTTTTCCAATTTAACTGCAAATTTCGGCGTGTGTTTGTCTTCTTGCAATTTGCACGACGTCGAATCGTGATAGAATTGTTTTCGGACTGTTGGCGAAAGATCACACTTATAAACATCACATAGTATTTCTGCATCTAGGTCCTGATTAAAACAGAAAGTGTGACTGAAGCCTTGACTTTAATAGAGTACCTGATTGTTCGCACGATTTAAAACAACTGTTTGACGGAATTCAGACGAATGGTGATCTCGTCAGAAAAGATCGCTCGATTCTAGTTCGTTGCTATGTGATCTTGGGTTCATTTTAAACGATTCTCTCAGTAGCGGTCGATGAGTAACAGTTTTGACAGATGTCGATTGTATTTCGTTTCTGCTTGATTCATGCGCCATCATACTGTTCACTCAGCTTGTAATGAACGTATGTTGGTCGGAGAGTGAAGTAATTTGTTGATTTTGTTTTGATACCGTTGCACGTAGTCGACTACACCATTCTGAATCAATCAAATCTTTTGACTGATTCCATTGTTTGAGGAAATATTTCACTATCGTCACTTCATAATGGATTACTTTTACTACAACCGTATGTCTGAACTTTGGGTCGAACAAATGTTGAAATAAAAAACAAACAAATTTGTATCGCTGACACACTGATAAAGCCATGTGTCAGAAGTATATTAGAGCTAATGATTAGCAACAACATTGAAGGAATGGGTAGTGATCCTGATCAGGAGATGACTAGTGCTGCTTATTTACACGAATATTATGAAAATTTCTAGAAAGTTTTACTAGGGCGGAGACTTTTGTCTATTACTGTATTTATATATTTATTATTTTAATTTTTTATAGCAATGAAATTTTAATAATAAGAAAAAAAAAATAACTGAACATATTTTTGGAATTGATTAAATAATAAAAACTAATTGTTCTTCTTTATTCTATATCAGTTTATTTCGGTAAGGCGAGGACAAAATGATCAATCGTCTACCTCCGGAACTTAATTTTATTTGTTTAAACAGCGGATGAAGCGATTGAATGCCTTCGATATTGAATGGATAATTGACATCCAATGTTAAATCATCGAGCCAAATGATGGTATAAAATTGACGTAGGCTAAGTAAACGTCGATGTAGGGTATGTGATATTTATTCAATATGTATTCTATTGGTATTACATTGAGGATTAATAATTGATAAATATGTAACATTCGGTACAAATGCCAATATTGAATCGATTGTTTCAATAGACATCTGATCAACGCTATCAAATATAAGTGTATGCAGATTTTTATGTGATATTAATTAACATTGTTTAAAAATATTAGGATTAACTCTAGTATTAGTAAGATATTTAATTGATAATCGATTAAGATTTGGACATAAGAAGAATAGAGAAACAATATCTTCTGAATATTTTGTAAATATTTGCAATGAAACTAAACTTGGTAAAATAATGGAAGATGAACGGATAATTGATCTATTTCCTATAAAATTTTCTAGAGAACATGACTGTAATTGAGGAAATTCATTGATAAAAATATGTTCAAGAAGTTATCGAGTGTCACATTCATAAAATGCATGACCAATATATAAATGTTCAAGTTGAGATTGGTTTATTGTTTGATTAAATTGTTGTTTAGTATGGCATTGAAGTTTTAATGCACGAATATTAGGATAATGAGTTAGATTAATTTTATTTGAATGTCGAAGAATTAATGTTGTAACACGATGTGCAAATGTTGAATCATCAATCTCTTCAAATTCTGATTGTTCGAAATGAAAAAATTCTTGAAATGAATTGATAATTTTTGTTAATCTTGAATTAAGTTCAAAGAATGTTTTGTAAGATATTCAAAAATATCTATTAATAATTCATTAGACAATAGTTCAAAAGTTGATGGTCTATTCATTGTATATTGAATTTTGTTTTTCTTCAAACTAGAACATATATTTATATTAAAAGCAATCATATCTGATGCAATATAATGTAAACATGAATAAAACACAACTCGACTGTTCTCGATGCTTCTATACAGAACAAATCGAATGCTATGTTGTTCGACGAACGACACTTTAATCGACAAGCTTTTCGTCGAAGTAACTTTGTTCCTTTGATGATGATGGAAGAATTTCAGGGCACTCTTGAATAGAATTACATGCTTATCGTCGAAAAGCACTTTAAGGAAAGGTTCGCAGCCCCTCAAGACAATTCCGGATCCTTCCATTCTTCTACAGAACTGTTCAGAGTTAAGAGAACAATGAATTTTCTCTCACGCTCATGTTTGTAGCGCCTTTGTCCTCAGCCTTGCCTTCACTCTCACATTTGGAGTACCCTGCATGGTCCTTACTCTCATCCTCACTTCACCTTTACATTGGGAGCGCTTTCCATAGCCAAGAAAATACTTTCGACGAAAATCATATCTATCTGAGTTTATTGATAAAATGCTTTGTCGACGAAGTGCCGTGTCGACAAAAATTTTTCGACCAACAACATGATTACTGAACAAATCAATCTCAGTCATGTATAATTCATTTTGTGCAATTTTCTTTTGGTTATTCTCTTACGTAGCTTTATGACTCAAAACTACCGTTATCTGAATTATTTCATAAGAAAATGGCAGCAACAATTAGGTCAACATTGTTTTATACCAAAAAACAATTGTATTCAGTTCTGATGAAAGAAAATAGTACGTAGTTATTCAAGACTTAAAGACATTCCAAGTTTCTTTTCGTATATTTTCATATTATTTGTTTTTTTGTCATATAAACCGCATTAAAAGTGTTCTTGTGAACAGCTTGAAGTATAAGATTTCCTATAATCGAATGAATTTTATAACATTAGAAATTACGATGTTTAAGAACGATGAGATTTGAAAGACAAGAGACAAAATCATGAGATTTATCAACAGATTATTATTGGTAAGATATTGCCGACATCTTTAAATCATGCTATATTCCACAACAAGGAAGGAAGTAACGTAGGGGTACACCAAATCCTATTTTTTTTATATAAAGATTACAAATTTTCAGTATGAAGATCCACCAAATCCAACCAAATCTTTATGTCGATTATAACCAGTTTTATTTGCTCTACTCGATAATGGCGTAAAATGACCAAATCCACCCAAAACATTTCTAAGGTTTGGTAGGATTTGGTAAAAAGTGCATATTTTTACCAAATCCTACCGAATCTTAGAAGTGTCTTGGGTGGATTTGGTCATTTTGCACCATTATCGAGTAGAGCAAATAAAACTGGTTATAATCGACATAAAGATTTGATTGGATTTAGTGGGCCTTTATATCGAAAATTTGTAAGCTTTACATAGAAAAATAGGATTTAGTGCACCCTAAAGCAACGTATTCTCAAGGTTCTAAATCTCTGAAGATATAAGATGAATCCTTAGAATAGCGGAATTATGGTGGAATCTCGAGATTACAATACGAATTCTAACAGATATTGTCTATCAACCAATGGCAAAATGCTTGTGAATCGTAGTTTTGATATAAATTATAGAGTTTACAATTAGGACGAATTTATGTAGACATATAAGAATAGTATACAAGAGTAGATGCTAAAGATGTAAAGTGTTGATAAATTCTATATTTCATACCAAAAATAAGATTCACAAATATTTTATCGTTGGTAACATAATTCATATTCTATTTTTCTTTCATTCCAACGATTGATTCACATCATGTCAATAGACGAACATGAATATTCAGAATTATAACGAATAAATATTACTATAGAAACAAGCTAAACATTTCATAATACTTTCTATTACTCTCGATTCATTGGTATAACCACTCGAATAATAACATAGATTAGCTCACTATTTTGTGAAATACGACTCAAAACAAGTGTTGAAGTATAGGGGTAGAAATATGCCCCTTCTCTTCGTCGCTCCGTAAATACCTTAGCAATGGCTTATCATATACTGTGACAGACATAACCACAAAACCAAAGTTTACTGCGGAGTTGACATGACAGTTGTTCTTTACTTTTCTTTCACACTTACTGCAATTAATATCTTTCATCACCGACATGCATTAGCAGTACATAGAAATTCATAAATTGAAATATATATCGATTAATTTTCTCTTGCACGATACCAACGGCTCCATTGTGTTTCACATTTTAACCTCGTAGAGATTGCACTAATAGCTATTAGCTTTGTTAAAGACATCTACTAACATTGGTATCGATGGCTTCAAGTCAATATCCTTATGAGAAGTCGAAAATAGAATACTTCAATATCAGCCATAATCATATCTCTTTTGAAAGTGAAAATTTTCATAATTTGATCATCCCATCGACTTCTTGCGTATTCTATCGAATGATATCATAAAACACAATTTTATTATGCTCGAAACAATGATAAGACAGTAAAATCTCTCTATTGTGAACACCATTAGAACCATTTAAAAGTATTCACTATACAGGGATGTTCACTTTATAGAATTGAAGTATGATTTGCTGTGAAATAAAGAAAAGGTTCTAAAAAATTTGCTTTCATCTAAATGAGTTGAATTGAAAGATTTACAAAGTATAATACGCAATTTAATTATTTCTAAAAAGAATTCTCTAATATTGTTTGTCTCTGATTTTAAACTAACGAGGGAAGTACCCGAAGTGATTAACCGCTTTTGAGCTCATATTTTTGGTGTATAGAAGAGACCTCTAGACTAGAATAATCCTAAAAGGATTCGGGCCCATAGGTCTTCTCTACAGAGTTATAGCCATTTTACTTGAGTTTTAGCCTATGGCATGGTATGTGCAAAGAAATCGACAGACGGTATTTCGATTTGAAATTTTGTCCACAGATAGGTCTACTTGTAATTAGAATGCTCTGAAAATTTCAACTCAAACGAATGTTTTTTTCGCAAGATACTGAATGTCGAGAAAACATGAGATTCTCGCATGTTTTATGGGATTTGAGTGATTTTTGAGAATTCAATATCTTGCGAAAAAAACATTCTTTTGAGTTGAAATTTTCAGAGCATTCTAATTACAAGTAGACCTATCTGTGGACAAAATTTCAAATCGAAATACCGTCCATCGATTTCTTTGTACATACCATGCCATAGGCTAAAACTCAAGTAAAATGGCTATAACTCTGTAGAGAAGGCCTATGGGCCCAAATCCTTTTAGGATTATTCTAGTCTAGAGGTCTCTTCTATACACCCAAAATATGAGCTCAAAAGCGGTTAATCACTTCGGGTACCTCCCTCGTAAGTTTTTTTTTTGTAACTTATTGTACAAACCATTCGTACACTTGATCATCTAGTTTTTGTGCCTTGATATCTTTTAATTTTCGTCTAACACTTTGATTCTGATTTGTTTCATAATCATTTCAATATTCTGTTTTAAAATATTTAATAGAAAGCTAAACAATATATTATATTTTTCATCCAATTTACGTCGTGATAAACAATATGCATCTTTATTATTATCATCAATTAATAGTATTTTTTCTTGCGAATTAAGCTCGTATCATGATATCATTCTTTATTTTACCCATACAACATACTCAAAATACACTTATTTATAGTGCATATGAAACAAGCGACAGAAAAGAGAGTGAAATAAAAAAAATCATGTTCAAATTAGAGAGAGGCATTTACAGTAAAATCGTTCCATCGAATTCGAGACCGTTCATAACTAGGAGATGTTCGCTGGTAAAGGTTTTAATGTATATTCATATCATCTTTTTTAAAAGACTCTTTGCACTTTCATTCATAATCATACTTTTAATTTCAATTACAAGATTAATTTGTTTTTTTCTTTTTTTATAGCAGAGAAACAAAAAAAAAAGATTCTTCCTTTCTGCTTTTTTTTGCCACGCACAAAATTACGACAAATACGGACAAGCGAAAAAAAAAATATATATACGATTAAAAAAAGAAACCAGATCACACTAATAAACACTAAGTCACATTACAATACACAATTGAATATTATAATAATAATCTTGTTAATAATAAATCTCACTGTTTATGTTGAACACTTACATAAACATAGAGATACAGCAAAGAAAAACAATAAAATAAAACACTTCGAGATTCAACAAACAGAAATGTTAGAAGAAAATCCATTTAAAGAATATCAGTAAAAAGTATATGCGTGTATTTAGAAGGAATTTTAAAAAAAGAAACCAGTATGTTTATATATTAATGCATTGAGCATGATGTGTTGTTGGGATATTTAAAAAAAAAAAGAAAAGAAAAGGATAAAAAGCAAAACACGTTCATTTTTGTCTTTATTTTTTAAACAGCTACTGTCATCTTCTTTTGAATATCGTCAATTAATGAATCCCCAACACACTAAAAAAATAAATAAAAGAATCATAATAATAATAACAATAATAATAATAAAAAGAAACTTTGTATAAACAAGAATGACAACATTATATTTATACAGATAAATACAATAATTAGGATTACAATACACCAATTAAACCGACAATAGAAAATTTACCCATGATAATTTAAATTTTGATATTACTCGGCAGACTTATGTTGAGTTCATAAGTAGGGATAAACTAGAAGAAGGATGTGCAATACAAATGTTATATTTATATATAGTGAAAATAACTTGAAGGTAAAGAAGGAGAAGAAGAGCAGCGAAAGTTTAGAAAAAAATAAATAAATCCTAATAATTAACAAAAGAAATATACGTACGGCACAGAATTCATCAAAACTTATTTTACCATCACCATCTTTGTCTGCATTGATAATTGTCTATTTAAATTAAATTGAAAAAAATAAACAATCTCTCTCTTCAAGAAAATATCAACTATATTTACTTTATCAACAATTTGTTGTAATTGAGAATCTTTTAAATTAGATCCAACCATCATTTTTAGCACTTGAAATAATTCTCCTATAAACAAAAATAAGAATTTCAATTAGATTCGTTTTTATCTATTTCATAATTCTAAATGCAAAATAAATCCACATGGAATATTATATTATTGGATATAGAGATACGATGGTGATCATTAGAGCTTATCGGATCCGAACCAAATCGACAAGCTCTAATCACCAATGCACTGATCTAGACATGCACATAGAGAACAACGGTAATCTTAAATTCATTTGAATTATGTTGATTGGGGGAAATCTATTTCAAGCAAATAGCTAAATTTTATAAAACACGAGAATTAAAGTTTTTCTTGAACTCGAGAATTTTGACAAATTTCCTATTGTTTTGAACTCCTGAGTGCCGAAAACCTTTAGTCTATTCTTGCAATGGTCCCTGCGACCGAAAAAAATCAAAATCAATCGAAAATAACCGTAGTTTTATCACGCATTCACCATAAGTCTATACGTACATGTTGAGATCAGTGTAAAACTGTACGTAAGATCGGTGCATCGCTTTACTGTTGCATCAAGGTGAAACAATTTCAGCTCCTATCGAATCACGATCAAAATTAAAAAAGACCGAATCTACTCATGTTTAGTGTCAAGAAAAGAAATCAAACTTTCTTTTAATGTCAATCACCATGACATAGTAAATAAG